ACGATGGGGGTATCAGGTGGACAGGAAGACTGAAAAATCTCTGAGCCGTCAAGAATCAGCTGGTGTTGCATCACTGTAAACCCTCCCTAGCTCTTTCAGTCAGCACCCTGACATTCTCATTCACATTATAATATTTCCAGTATGTGGTTGTCAGTGTGGGTATCCTGTATACAGGGCAGAGACTGTTGTGTCATGTTTTCCTCCAGAATATAGCTCAGTTCCTGATACAGAAGGCACTTAATAAAATGTATTAGATTATTACAAAGATATCTTAGAACCTCAATATTTTCTGTAAAATACCATACAAATTCTAACACAAAGAACTGTTTTAAGGATTAATACAAAAAAGGTAAAATACTTCGGAGAGCACCCAACACTTAAATAACATAGTTCCTTTCCCACTGTTTTAGTATGGGAGAGTTATTTATGCCTATGTTTGATAGATCACAGGCAAAAATGCTCTATAAAAAACAAGCCACAATGTTCCCCACTTGTGCTGTGAATTTTGTGTTGCTGTTTTCGTTGGATTTCTAGATAAGACCAGCATTTTATATCCTATAAACCCTGTAAGGTTACACTGTCTCCATCCCCATTATCTACTCGGCAAGATACACACTATAAATGAGAATTCTGAGATGCTCGTACTTGATTCTGTTGCAGACACCCATGGGACAAACTTGGAGGATGTGTAACTCTCATCAGGAATGATAAAAAGGAGTACTGAACGGTGGCCCTGTGTACTGATTCTGATGAGATTTCCACCTTGGTAGGTCCAGAATTCTTGCACGTCTTCCTGGGAACCGCCATGGAGGTGTCTTCTTCTTCACTGCCTTATTTTTACAAAACAAAAAGTATGTGCACACTGACTTGTAAAGGAGGTCCGTGCAAAGTCAGCGCACAGGAGTGAGGAACTGGGTTTGCAGCGCCGCTGTGGCACTGTGGCAGGAACGTGCACCGAAAACGGCCAGCTTCCAACCAAAGCCAGTACGCAGATTTTGGCTCTCTCCACCGGCCCTGAACGAGCTCTTCCAGGCGCACTCACACACTGCACACCTGCGGGTCTGTGCTTCCAGCTGTCCCACGGCTGCCTATAGGGCCTCTAGGCACCGGACTTAGGAGAAGCACAACGGAGGCCCAGGGGACAAAGAGGTAAACACTGCCCGCATCCAGCTGCCACCTGAAAGCACAAAAGAGGCCTATTCTCTCTTGCTCTGTGGGATGCATCCCTGTGAATGGACCAGGTTCTCCCGCTCCAGCCCCGCGTTTATTCCGGCCCCTCGCCCCTCAGCCTGGGTGCTCTCTGTCCTCCTGTTCTTCTGTTATCTCATCTCTCACCTGTGTGAACTCTGCATTGTCCTGGAGCCAGCAAGCAATTGCTGCCTTATTTCCTCTTTCATACTTTTAATTCCAGTTGAACTCCTGACTCATGATCAGGTATTGTCATCTTTGGAATTGCCAGTTGGAGGGCAGAAATTCCCCTCCTGCTGCTCTGTTGCCCTACATGCCCTCTGCTGGCTATTTCTGGGTACTGCAGGAAACCCTAAAAGGTCATGTTTCACCCGTAGCAAACAGGAGGTTTCTTGCTCGTCATACTTTCTCCCTCTTCTTTTTTAAAAAATAAAATTGCCAGCACTGTCTCCAAATTTTCCAAAGTGACACTGAAACACCTTCATCCCCTCATCCCCAGTGATTATCTCATGAATCTGCCATGACAGCCCTCCTTCAGCATCCCGTACTTGCCAAGCTCAGCGAGTAGATCTTCACGACTGAAATAGGACATTGCTGCACTGGCGGGGAGTACTGCTTGGAGGTGACGGGTGTGGGGTTTGTAAAGCAGAGGACTTTAAGTCAGAGTAGCATTTTTCAACCTTGGCACTACTGACATTGTGAGTCAGTTCATGCTTTGTTGTGTGAATCCTTCCATGGGGTAGGACATTTAGCAGCATCCCTTGCCTCCACCCTCCAGGTGCCGGCAGTACCTATTCCAACTTGGTCATCCTCCCAGGCAACCAAAAATACCCTCCAGATACTGCCAGGTATCTGGGGAGCCAGCCACTCACTACTGAGAATCACGGTGTTGGAGTGATGGAGCAGAAAGCCTATTCTACCTGTTCTTCTACATGCTAGACGGTGCAGGCTCAGTCCTTTGACAATATGGTTAGTGGGTCATGCTGATATTCTCAGAACACATGCCACAGATTAGTGATACTTACAGCCACCTTTTTTGCAGCTCAGACAGAGAGGATAGTAATGGTGTCCCCTGAGGACAGCCATCTGAACAAGCCTGAGCTAACATTTTTTAAAAATTGAAAATATGGTTCTCTTGTATAACAGTTCCATAATATCATCTGAGAGTCAGCCCAGCTTTATGGAAATCATTTAGAAGAATCAGATAAGCTTTTCTTCCTTGGGCACTATTATATTCTGCATTGTCAGCCTCGATTAATATTTATTTCTGTGCATCACAACTCATTTTATGAACTCTTCCCCAGGTCTGTTAACACACTGCAGAATGGTTACTTTCCCATTGCAGAAGCAGCTGTAAAGAGAGATCTGGCCACCAGTGTAAGGCTCAGGGTCTGGCAGAGACCCGGAGCACAGAACTCAGCAAACAGCTACCTGGCTGCACTCAGGGTCAGCACTGGGTCACAGCCTCTCCTCCGTGCCTGCAGCAGACAAGGCGAGCCACCTGGGAGCTGAGCCTTGGTCCTTGGCAAGAAGCAAGCTTTGAAATGAAGAGGGAGCCATCTCATTTCCCTGACACAGGTCACATCTCTCACTGAAAAGGAGACCCATGGTTGCTAGATTGTCCACGAGGGCATGTCACAGCCTAGATGGCATGCGGAAGACAAAAGCTGGCTTGTCATCTGCCTTTCACTCTGCAAGAGACAGCCCCCAGCACTGCCATTATAGCTGTGAGATGCTGTGTCACATATTAATTAGGGAGAACATATGTAGTATTCCTCAGCCCGGGGCCATTCGACAGCCAAAGAGGAGGAGGGAAGACAGGAGGTGAAAGCAGCTTCCGTCCAGGCTTGCTATGCGGGTCTGGCCCCATACACCTAGCATGAATAGGCGAGATGGCCTCGTCAGCCTGGCTTCAGGCCTCCTGGCCCACTGCTTCATTGCCGGTCTCTTGCTGGCCTCCCCACCCCATCCAAGTCTTCCCAGGGTAAGGCGGAGGTCCTGAGACAGGCACGCATGGAGCATGGGAAGTGCAATGGCAGGGGACAGGCCTCCACAGAGGGGAGGCAACAGCATTGGGGATGAGCTCATTACACCTGTTCTGGGAAGAAAAAACAGCTGAGGCTTTCTCTCTCAACAGAAACCTGGGAATGACCCAAGGAAATACCCCATGTGGAGAGCAAGCACACAGGGCTTAAAGACATGAGATCAACACCCACACCTGGAAATGGTGCTGAGTAATGAGACATAGAACACCTCCGAGTCCTTCCACCCTTGGACATAGATTTCTGTGAAGGAACTTCTACCAAGTCAGGGACAGAAGTCCAAAGACCAGATCACTGCCTGCCCCTTGTAGGCTGTGTGGCTTTGAGTGAGTTATTTAATCTTTCTGAACCTGGGAATCCCCATTAAAATGAAAGGATAACACATGTCTTCTCTATAAGGCAGAGTCCAGTGTGATACTGAATGTTGTATAGAAAAGCATACTCCACAAATAAGAATGGTGATAATCATGGTACTTGACGTTTATATTCAGCTTTGTTGGGGATACCCTTAGTCTCAAGCTAATGTTAAGAGCTACTAAGTGCTTTATGGACTCCAGTATCATAATTACCCTCAAATAAACCTTGGCTGTCCTTGTATCCTTATGCCCTTCCAGGTAACGGGATAGGGAAGAGCCAATCCACCACCCTGGCAGGTATTTACTAAGTACACACAGTGCTTTTAGCATGGGGGGGACCATGTGTGGGGCATTAGAATAGACGGGATATAATCCCCACGCACAGAGAAGGCACAGTCTAGAAACTAGAAGGTAAGAGGAGGAACTGCCACATCGGTAGTCCATTAGTTTTCAACCCTTCAGAAACACATCGCTTTTTAGGCAGCTCAGTGTGTAGAAAGTACACATTATATTCTCCCTCAGCTCTGGCCCCAATCTTTACGTTCTTACAACAGAGGCAAAGTCTCTGCTCAGGTCACGGAGGCACCCTGCAGATTCTCTTGCGGCAGACTCTGCGGCTTCTAGTTCTTTACATCTTGCAGTCAAATGGAACAAGTCCTTGCGCACTCATCATCCGGATCCCCTGGACAGCTCACGGCTCCTAACCCTCCCCCGGCCGACCTTGTTTCCAGCTGCTGATCACTGTTCTGCAACTCAGGATTCACGCAGCACTTTCTCCAAGGTGGCCACGCAGATCTCTCTCCTCTTTACATGCTTTTGCCCTGCAAAAAGCTAAAACCAATATGCGATCTGTGTGCCAGTTTAAGAAGACAGAGGATTTGTCACAAGGCCCATGATTAATTGTCCAGTGAACTGCACAGGCAGCCTCACTGCTACAGCAGGTGAGCCTCCTTTGGTCCTTCTTGGAAATAAGCAGAGCTTGCATTTGTGAAGCATAGAAAGCAAGTGAGCTGAGAGAAAGAGGTCAGAGTGCAGGGAGGAAATCTAAGGAATTTGCCTCTGAACGGCCAGTGACCAAATGTACCATCAGTGGTGACCGGCATTTTAGTATCTCAAAACCAAATAAATCTTGTTCACATCATCATTTCAACTTAATATTTGGGGGTTTGGTATATATTTTTATATAGTGCTTAACTTGAAAAGTTAATATGATATCTTACTGCTATCCTTTATAGCCTCCTTACTGTATATCTTGTATTCCAGATAAACTGTCTCATTTCAGCATCATAAGCAATTGTAAATTGGATACTTTTATTCTTACTTCATATAAGAAACACAGTCTCTGAAAGCTTAACTAACTCCTGAACTTATGATCTGATAAGCAGTGGGCCTGAGACAAAAGTTAAAGCCAGGGTTCGTCATTACCTTTAATAGAGTAGGGCTTCACAAGTAAGCAACACACAGGCCTTACTGCTCAAATGTCAGCCACTTGTTTAGCATTTAATACTCAAGAATGTTTATCAGACCAAACCAAACACACACATTCAAAGGCTCTATTAAAACATGAGCTTCTCACACAGGGACACTGTCACTCATGCGTCTTGTCTATCGCTTCTCCCTTTCCCTTACCCAATTATTGGGTGTCTCTGAGCCTTATTCCCCACCCCCATTAAACAAATATTTAGTGAGCATGTGCTATGAGCTGCCCTGTTCTGAGTTCTCTTGCTCCATGTCACACCTTTAGTTTACTCAGTTCCAATATTGTGAATGAAATAACACCCTCTGTGTTTGCCTCTCTAGCTGAAGATGAAGACATAAAAGAAGACTATCTCTGCTATCTGTAATGTCAGAGTCAAGCAAAGGAAAATACCATCAGCCAACCTCTGCCCAGCAGTGTGGCCTACAGCAGGAGAGTAGAGGAATATATGAGCCACAGGCAGCCGCAGGGAGACATGGTGCCCTCGAGGTGAGTGGGGTGAGCACACTGGGAAAGCTCAGCCCCGCACCCACCCCACGGCACAGTGCCAGGCTCATTATTGTCCAAATCTGGAGAGAGACATGCCCCGTGATGCAGCTGAAGCACTTCCAGCTCTCAGCGGATTCTTCTCTGCTGGGCAATGGGGTTGCCTGAAGGAGATAAAAGAAGAGGCCAGATCAGATTTGCAGGATATGTGGCTGGTACCTGCGACATAGCAAAAAGCAGGGGAAGGAGATGAATGCGCTTACTGAGACCACTACCTGCCAGCCCAGAGTGAGGGACAGGATAGGCGGGGTGGTGAGGGGTTGAAAGTCACACCAGGTCGGGGCCTAGAGGCAAGCGACCCAGGGCCACTCCCCTGGCCCACCATGGCTGCGTGTCTTTAAGACTAATCTTCATCTCAGCTATTCACAGTGCACATTTGTATCTGACTTTCTAAATTTGCAGCTGACTACAGTAAAAGAAATGCATATAATGGGTTTATTAAAATAGAAATTAGACTTTAATTAATAGATTAAATAGATTTTAATTTCCACTGTTAAAAATATACAAAATAACCATACCCTAGGCCAATATCACTATTAAGGGCATTAAATTTGATTCCGAGCTTCCAAAGAACCAAAAGGCAAAAAATATAGCATGGCCCTACTTAAGTCTTCATTATTTTGGAGGAACAATGTTTTTGCAGGTACTAAATTCTGAAAGGAATTTTGAACACTGGGTTTTTTTGAAGGTGGTGACATCATTCTGCCCCTGCGGTTTTCCTTCAGGTCTGTCCTCAACTGTCTGCTCTGAGAGTCATTTCCTGGTGCCATGTCTCCAGTGACATTTGTCTTCCAGTGGTAAAACAAAAAAATATGACTCTGGTTCCATGCCCACTTGGCGCTGTCACCTCTTGATTTCATTTTAAAATCATATCTTAGTTTTTAATTCATCAAAAGTCAAAAGGCTTTCCCCCACTGTTTAAAAGGGACCCTGGACTCTAAGCTTTTGACCTCCTGCCTTGAGTTATAAAAGAGACTGAGGGAGTTGTTTTGGACATGGGTTTTCTTTGTTTTGTTTTCTTTTGCTTTTATCTTCGCTTTTCTTCTCTGTCTTTCCATATAAATCAGGTATTTAAAAGGACAAATGGTGACTTTAAGGTGCACTCTGCAGCTTGTTTAAATGTGTTTGGGGAAAATTTACCTTGGATGGGAAATGAGATTGTGTATTCACCCAGCTGTACTGGGCCCACCCTCTCCCTTCCCTCCAGTTCAGTACCTGTCCTTTCTCCTTTCATGCGATTGTGCTGGCTCCTTCCATATGAAAGAACTCTTCTTACTTGAAAAAAAAGTTTTTAAAAAGTGGATAATAAAAATACAAACACAAACAGTCTTCCTAGATTTTGTGGAAAACAGACATTGAAGACACTGTGCCTGGTTCACTGAACAAACACTAAACGGGATCCGCCCTGAGAAGGACACAAGGCAGGAGTCCACAAGGAAGGGAATCAAGTCCATAGACTTCTGGTCCCATAAGCTGCTCTTAGTGGAAGGACAGAGACAACACATAAACAAATACATTTTGTCAGACAGCAGCAACGCTGAGAAGTGAGGCAGGCAAAAGGACAGCGTGTCCTATGTCAGATGATTTACCCAGGAAACCTGCTTTACATGGCTCAGTTTTCCCACCTTTTTATCTGGCTACATCACCTTTTCCTTAGCAACAGAGCACAGAATAAACATTACAGAACCAAATACCTTTCACCAACTTGACCATTAAGGATGGGAGGAAAGCGTCCTGCTGCTATTTGAAGCGGAGACCGTTGCCAAATCGTTCATAACAAAAATAACAGTCCACATGAGCCAGGCCATTTCTGTGGTAAACCTGATTGAACCTAAGCTCCCAGCTGAATGCAAGCTCACTCTGAACTCCCTCCCAGGATGCAGAATAGCTTATGCGGCACTTGTACACGCCCTACCCTCAACATCCACCAGCTCACGGGGGAGCCCTGGCAATGACGTGCTGGGGACTGAACAGTAGTCTCCCCCACTCGCCTCAGAGTCAGTATTCAAGACTTAACCCTAAATCTGATGGGTTTTGGAGGTGGTGCCTCTGGCGGTAATCAGGTTCAGATGTGGTCATGAGGGTGGGGTCCACATGATGAGGTTGGTGCCTTGAGAACAAGAGATAGCAGGAATCTTACTCTGTTTCCTTCTGCCATGTGAAGATATAGTGAGAAAGGAGCAGTCTCCAAGCCGTGAAGAGAGCTCTCACCAGATCCCAGCTAGGCTGGCACCTTGGTCTGGGACTTCCAGCCTCCAGAACTGTAGCAACACACATTTCTGTTGTTTAAGCCACACAGCCAGTGATGTTTGGTGTGACAGGAGGAACACCACATCCCAGCCCAAGAAATCCTAGCTAGTGGTGGTAGGCGGGTTATTTAACCTCTCTGAGACTGACCTCATCTTCTATACATTAAGATAAAATAGTAAATACCTCACAGGGTTCTTGTGAGGATTAAAGTAACCACTACATGTATAACACTGAGGACATGTCTGACAGATGGCACTCGGTAAGTGTTTATTGTTGTTATAACTCCAATTTGCAGATGAAGATACTGAGGCTCTAACAGCTCCATTAACTTGCCCAAGGTCATCTGGAGGCTGGGTGTCAGATTTAGAATCTGAACTTAGGTTTCTCTAACTCTTAACTCCTGCTTCTTGTCACTACTAGCAGAAATTAAACTAATGTTACTTGTAAGAGATCCCGATCCAAATAATAATAGCAAGGTCAGGTGCATTCATGAGAGCCTGGGACCATGCATTCTACTGGTGAGTTGGTCCATTGGCAGTGTTTACCGAGTCTGCTGACAGCATTGACAACTCAAAGCAAATGGGTTTTCCCCTTGCCTGATTATTTACTTTCATGCCTTTATTTGTCTGTTTAGCACTTACTAAATTGTGGGTTATGCATAGAAACCAATAAAATGATCCTACTTTCAGTCTGGGAAGAAAAAGGCAGAAAACCTAGAACTGACAAAGCAGGAGAGAATATGATCAGATGCACAGGGTCATGGACCCAGGCAAAATAGGTCTGGAATGAGAAGTGTTAATAAGACTCAAAGAGTTTGAGCAAAGCCCTGTAGAAAGTGACAGAGATAAATTAGCTAGGAGTTCTATAAAGGAAAGATTTCAAATTCAAGACCAGGACAGTGAAGTTGTTCTGATGAAGTTCTCTACTAAGCCATGACAAATTCAGTGAATATTTTGGAGGTGAGTTTTATATGATAGTGCTGTGGTAGTAAGTATTTTTTTAAAACCCATTTGGTGTTTTTATGGAGAGAAATCTGAACTTGAAACCCTCTTGCTAAAGGTTTTCCCTTTTGGGTCAGCAAGTGTAGCCGTCAGGCTTCAGTCAGTAAGGGAAGCCACACCATTATTTTAATGGAGTGGATTTAACTTAAAGAATTAAAACTAGATATAGTTGTTACCTTGGTAACTAAACACATCCAGGAAGAACTCTGCAGTATTATGGAGTTTGCAACTGTAGAAAATAGCTCTGAGGAGAGGGGATTAACCCATGCTGATATCCCTCTAGGGACCAGAACAAGGCTGATTTTGCCAGAGTTGGGGAAATTGTGGACTCAGCTGCTGATGTAGGATGTCAAAGAAGCACTGCTAGCGTGATGTTCACAGAAACGGGAAGCAGGTCAGAAGCCAGAAAGAAGTAAGAGCTTTTCAGCTCCTGTAGCCTTGCAGCCTTGTCCTAGAGCTGCCTTTGACAGAGCGTAGAATGGACCCAGTTAGCAACCCAAACATGAATGCAAAATATAAATGCAAACACAAACATGAAGGCAAAACAAGGAAAAATATTGCATCATTCCTCTTTTTCATCCCAAAAGGGAAGGCACACATGCGAATGGGAGGCACGGTAGGACTATGTTATACCAGAAGAATGCACAAGTTTTTTGACAGGAGCAATGAATCGGTAATGACTTGTTTTAAGGGAGCAAACAGGAAAGACATCATACATAACTCTTGAGCTGAGCTTGTAAGATGAACTTTGTTAGCCAGGTAGACATGGTCAACAAGAACATTCCAGACAGGAGGGAGAGAGCCTGGACAAAGATGTTAAGGTAAGAAGGAATGAGGTGCACTTGGAGATTATGGGAATGTAACTTGTCCAGGCTGAACTATGAGACATAAGAAAAGGAGGGTGTGGAAAAAGACGAGGCTAATGAGGTAGGCAGGGGACACATCAAGAATACTTTCTTTGGGCTGGGGATTTAGCTCAGTGGCACAGCGCCTGCCTGGCAAATGCAAAGTCATGAGTTCGGTTCCCAGTACTGGAAAACAAAACAAAACAAAACAAAACAAAAAAAGAATACTTTCTTATGCCAGTTGCTTTGTTGGAACCTTATCCTAGAAGAAATGACAGATTTAGCTTAAAGAGGTAACATGAAGAGAATCATGGTTTTGGTGGATAACTCATTATGAAGAACTGCTCATAAGACAGCAAACAGGCCAGATGGGAGACCGTTAAATATCCCAGCTGAGCAGTGGAAAGAGTCTGGCCAATGGAAGTAGAAATGGAGTGGAAGGAGGGGACAAATGGAGAAATGCTAAGGGAGTAGAAGAAAGTGAACGTCAGGATGAAGAAGAAACAAGAGTCTGGGTTTTGACTCAGGTCACTGGATGGACGTTGGTGCTCTTCTCCAAGGGAGGTTGGCAAGGATTGGTCTATGGGTAAGGAAAGAAATAAAAAGAATAAAATCATGACCTAAGTTTCAGACATTTCAATGATGAGAAGCATCTTAAAGGCAATTGAACAGATATTGATCTTTTCTCTAACAGGCCTCTACAGTCCAGATGACCTCAACTGTCACCTTTCTAAAGGAGCATTGCTCATTAGGAATATGGGAACCCTTTAGCAATTCCAGGAAAGATCTCTTGGATTTTTGACAATTATATAAGACAGGGTCATCATTTCCTATTATAATTACTCTTTTCCTCTGTCCTCATGATAGCAGTAAGTCCTATGCTGGGAATTTGACTGATGATGACAAAGATTTGCATATAAACGGCTCTATCCTTGTGCCTAAGGATCCTTTCCTTGACTAATTTGTGACCTGAAATCATTCCTAAAAAGATGTTCATAAATTTCCTTTTTAAATGTTTTATATTGTGCTAAAGTGAGTTCAGATCTCAGATAGTGATGTAACTGCTATTCTTAAATTCCCCAGGACCACTGGTATATCCTAGTCACCTAAGGGCTACTGTCATGATCAGAGCTTACACTCTTTTCTTTATTTTTTTTTCAACTTCTGCATTGAGATACCAATTATACATATAGAAATAAGGAGAAACTGCCTGATAATAGTATTGTTCTTTTTAAAGAACTCTAGAAGGCCTCCTTGGTACTTTATCATAGTTTTATTCATTCAAATAATCTTCCTTTACATTGCATTTATTTTTGCTCTGAAGAAAGAAAATGAAAGGATAATTTGTAGGCATCCAGGGGGGCCCATACATGTCCCAGAATCACTTCTGCCTTCTCCTTCTGCCTCTGAGATTTCATTCACACCTTTTCATTCATCCAACAATTCAGTACTCCTCTTGCTTCAAGTCCCAGCTCAAAACCACCAATCTTTCTGACCTCCCTAACCACCCAAACCCACAGCAGTCCTGTGAGCTCCAACATCAGGACTGTGGCTATTTTAGCCCATAGGTGGCAACGTGGGTTCGGGATACTGTTTTTCTAGGTGTATAATCTGTCCTGTTAGTAAAATACAAGCCTCAGGAGGTCAGAAACCTTCTCGCTTATCTCTCTCTGTACTTGTGCATGTAACGACAGGCTGTCGCTCTTGCTGTACTGGAGATTAAACCCAAGGCCTTCACACTGAGCAATATCACCAGCCCTTTTTTTTTTAAAAAAATTTCAGACAGTATCACTAAGTTCCCCAGGCAAGACTTAAACTTGTGATCTTATGGCCCAGCCTTCCAGAGTACTAGGACTACAGGCATATACCACCACATTCAGGTACTAACAGGCTTTGAGTCAAGGCCTAGAGGTCTCTGGATATTTACTTTATCGCTGACCTCTGGCCTCCCTGCTCTTTATGTGCAGGCTTTCTTCTAACCTTCAAGGATCTTGTCATAGTGCAGAAGGCACCGAGTGAGGTGCTTCCTTTCCTTATTCACTCTGCTGATCTTCCTCCTTTCTCCACACGGGTGAGTTGCACTGTATAATTTGCATATATTTATTAACTATCTCCAAGTAACACAGCACACACCCTTCAAATGCTACACAGTCTTGATAAGTAGAAGGGACTGCTGTTT